AGGGGGCATCCCTGTGTGACTCCTTTCTTTATTTTGATCTTCTCTGTTAGTTCTCCATTCATAAGAACTTTGGCTGTCTGACTGTTATAAAATCCTTCTATCATTTTTATAAATTTTTCTCTGAATTTCATCATTCCAATAGTGTTATTATAAATTTCCAGATTATGTTGGCAAATGCTTTTTGTGCATCAGGGAAAACCAGTACCATTTGTTTTTCTGGATGCGCCTCGTAATACTCTATTATGTCTAGGATGACTCTCGTATTATTTTTAATGTGTCTGTGAGGTAAAAATCTGTGAGATTATGATTAAATGAAAGGGTATATTTAATGCATAAGTAGATGGAATGTAAGGATTCGGATGAACTTGATCAGCTTTATTTGTATTACATGGTATGACACTCAAGTGCTGCATATTCACACATTGATTTGATGTTTTTGTAAAGAATAAAAATAAAAAACTGGGGGGGGGGATGTATTCATTCAAGAGAACTGATGTTAAGCTAAAGCATTTGACTAAACCTGATGATTCTATCCCCCTCCGCCTCCTCAGGATTGTTGTTAGTAATGGAAGGGACAGTTATCTTATCTTTAAAATGACCCCAAAGAGTGCTGAAATTGAATTAGAATCAATAAAACCTGGTGGAAGAGTAACTCCAGAGAGACCCAGCCACTAGGATGGGATAAAATTCTGCTGCTGCTCTGCATCAGTATTTCATCCTATGACTTATGATATATGAGTCACAGTGTTATATCCCATGTTTATTAAAACCATGGTGAAAAAGACAGGAAGAGACAAGTACTCTTGTACAGTAAGAGTTGCATGCCAGGGGGGAAAAATGGAGATGCTTGCCAATCTGTCTTTAATTGATGATTTATTTATTTGTCAAATCATCCAAAATTGGGTGGGCATTAAAATAAATAGCCATGAGAATGCCATGGAGTGAAAAGGTTTCCAGCAGCTGGAAAATTGTGATAATTGCCCTTGAAAAAAGGAAAAAAGGAAGTAGATCCATGCTTCACTTCACTGAATGTTGTTTGACAAATATGTTAAAAGCACATCACAATTACATTCTCAATGAGAAATGATACTCCATTTACACATTCAAAGAGATAGATAGATAGATGATGGAAGGAGGGAGGGATAGATAGCTTTATGTATTTAGCATATGGCAAATGTTAAAAAGCACATCACAATTACATTCTCAATGAGTAAATATACTATTTTCAAATTTAAAGAGATAGATAGATGATAGGTAGGTAGGTAGGTAGGTAGGTAGGTAGGTAGGTAGGTAGGTAGGTAGGTAGGTAGCAGATAGGTGGTATTTGGACTTGCAAAGCAATGGGATGCGCATGCGCAAAGACGATGACGGCAATGGCAGTCGCTTTTGCGCCAGCCAGAGGACTTTTCAGCAGCTTGCAGCCAGCCACCAGCCTCTTTGAGAGCCGGTATGCAAAGAGGTAGTGGCTTGGAGGCTTCTTTGCCAGCCAGCTGCTTCCTAGCAGCAGTGGCTGGCTGGGAACCAGTGAAAACTCCAGTCAGCTTGCCTTCCAGACTGGACCAGCCGCCACGGAAGGTAAGCAACCAAAGAGGCAGTCGTGAGGGAGAAAGCGAGGAAACGGGTGCAACTAGTGAGCGGAGAGCCGGGGTAGATAGGGAAAAATCCTAAAAAAAATCTTAGCTTTTCCTGTGGGCGTGGCTTGGTGGGGTGCATGTGACTGAGTGGATGTGGGCATAAATGACATCATGTTGTCCACACCCACTCAGTCACATGCCCCCTAGCCATGCCCACCAAACCGGTAGCGAAAATTTTTGAATCCTATCACTGGTAGGTAGGTAGATCGATAGCTGGTTGGTNTTGTCTTTTGTGAGCCACCCGGAGTCCTCCGGGAGTGGGCAGCATACAAGACAAATAAATAATAAATAAATAATAATTAAAAAATGGGGAAGAAATTAAACTTGTGCAATGAAAATTGTTCTGCCCATTCACAGAATTGAAAAACAACCGGAGAACCGGTACAGGGGCATGGCAGGCCTGGATCACTGCCAGTTCCAGTGACCTAGGCTGCCAAACCACTACTGGTTCGACTGAACCTGTCCAAATCAGTAGGAACCCACCACTAGCACAGAGGTATCACATGGGCAGACCAAGACAAGCACATCACTGCTCACACTGTTGCATTTTTGACTAACTGAAGCTTCCTAGTGGGTTTTCGAGGGCAGCCCCATGCAGCACAGGTGAGTTGAGGGGGGTCTGAGTGACTATTTTGAGGCCTGACAGAGGAAAGGTCAGAACTGGTATACCCGGTGGAGTTGGGCATATCTTCAATGAGATCAACAACCTCATAAGTTTCACATCACTCCTATAATAGTTTGTGATACTGTTCTGGAGAGACAGAAGGAGGAGCAAGAGGAGAAACCACAGATTAGGCAATCGGTCAGATAAGGAGCAGGGTAGCCTGAAGAAGGAAAGGGGACATGTCAAGCAGTTCAGAAGGGACCCTCCCTAGTTTCTTGGAGTGTAAAGGTGGGGGGGGACTCTATTTTCAGACTTGTAAAATTCTGATGCTGTGACTTTATAATAAAGATAGTGTTAGTATTCATGCTTGGTGTTTTTTGTTGGATTACCTCAAAGGGCTGACATTAAGCCTGAAAGTACATCTCTGACCAGGGCTAGTGATTGATATTAATGTTCTCCAATACAAGATCTAACCTGAGACAAAAACCAGATCTAACTTGCAGCTGTAAATATGTGTTGGGCTTAGATATCAGGTCCATAGTTGCCATGGAGACCACACATCCCTGAGCTACCTCAGCTGTTATGCTGCCAGGCTGAAAACTGTAATCTTCAAATACCAACAATTTGGGGGACTCTATCACCAGCTCCATGGTGGAATCAGGGAATGGAGGAAGAGATGATGCTATGCAGCAATAATTGCAGTTGTTCTCTAGAGTACAACCAACTAGACCACCCCAAATCTGACTATTGGCACAGCAGAACTTTGAGTGTAGTCATGCATAAGAACAACCATAGTCCACATCCCATGGGATCTGGGCTGATGCCAAACCCAAATTTGAGAAGACATAGGTCTGTGAGAGGAATCCCCCCTATCCCAGGTCCAGCCAGGTTTTGGTTAGACATGCCCGATTCCCAGGGATGGGTTCCGGCAGGCATTATTGCTGGTTTACTCATGTGTGTGCAGCACGTCTGCACTGCATGCGCATGCACAGTGCAATAAAAAATGTTCTGCACATGAGCAGAAGTGAAAAACAAGATGGTGGCACCTAAGGCACTGCCTGGAGAACTGGTTTGGGGGCATGGCAGGCATAGGTTGCTGCCAGTTCCAGCGACCCAGGCCACCAAACCACTACCGGTTCAGCCAAACCGATCCGAACTGGTAGGAACCCACCACTGCTGATTCTCCACATTTAATTGAAACAAAATTTCAGCCCATAATAAAGCTCGCAGTTTCCAGATTTTACTGAAATTTTCTTCTTTGGGGGAGTGGGAACTCTTTTCTATCCATTTGAATGAGATGGTTAAACAAAGGTTGGAAAACTATTTAGAATAGTTTTCTACTACTAATTAAGAATCTTGATGAGCTGGCCAAGTTGGTTCTCTTTTTATAAAATCTAGCAGCAGTGAGAATCCATTTTTAATTCTGGCAAATTTATGCTCTCTTCATTAAATAAAATGCACACATATCTGATTTCTATTATGAAAAGAAATAGAGACAATCAAATAAATGAACTATATGAAGAAGGACACAGCTGTCTGAATCTACAAAACATTTCAGGACGTTGTAAACCAACAAATTAACTTCACATGGATAGTCAGATTCTGCCTTCCAGAGACCTATTAGATTAAATGACATTTCCAGCAGCTGAATTCATGCAGTATTTATTATAACTTATATGTTATTACAGCTGGCATTACATGAATGCTCGAAAAAAATAACCCTTGTCAAGCAAAAAGGAAAAGAACATAAACATAAACATATCAAACACATACCACAGGTAAAAGGTGGGCAAATATTGTCAATCTATTGTTTTCTGTGTATATATTGCATATCTGCTTTTGTAGAAATTTATCTGCAAAGGGCAATTTGAGGCATGGTTTCATTAAACGCTTGCAGCTATAATGACATCATTGTTCAAAAACTTGCAGTTATGAAAATAATTTAAACAGTGAATGTGCTTTTACAAATTGAGTTGGCATACCATACTCAATGAATAGTCTTAAATGGTACTACATCTACATGGAGGGAAATAAACAGTGGGATACCGCAAGGTGCCGTCTTAGGCACAGCATTCCTCAATATCTTCATAATTAACTTAGATGAGAGAATATAAGAAGAATTCATCAAAGTTGGGAGAAATAGCCAACACCCCAGAAGACAAGGTCAGGATCCAAAAATATCTTGACAGACTTGAACAATGGGCCTTATCCAATAAATTGAAATTTAATGTGGAGAAAAGCAAGGTTTTACATCTGGACAGGAAAAACCAAAGATTCAAGTACAGATTAGGCGAAACATGGCTCTAAAACAGTAACTGTGAGAGGGACCTTGGAGTCCCAGTGGATGATCACTTAAACGTATGTCAACAATCTACGGCAACAGTCCGAAAAGCTAATACAATCCCCTGTTGTATAAACAGAGGCAGAGAATCAAAATCATGTGAAGATTTAGTACTGCTTTATAATGCCTTAGTAAGACCACACCTGGAATACTGCATCCAGTTTTGGTCCCCACATTACAAAAAAGTTGTTGAGACTTTGGAAAAAGTGCAGAGAAGAACAACTAAGATGATTAAAGGCCTGGAAACTAAATCATATGAGGAACAGTTGCAGGATTTGGGTTTGTCTAGTCTAGAGAAAAGGACTAGGGGAGACATGATACCAGTATTCCAGTATTTGAGAGATTGTCACAAAGAGGAGGAGTTCAATTTATTTTCCAAAGCACCAGAAGGCAGGACAAGAAATAATGGATAGAAACTAATCAAGGGACGAAGTAACCTGGAATCAAGGAGAAACTTCCTAAGAGTAAGGAAAATTAATCAGTGTAGCAGCTTGCCTTCAGAAATTGTATGGGCTTCATCACTGGAGGTTTTTAAGAAGAGGCTGGAGAGTCATTTTGGAAATAGTATAGGATCTGCTACTTTAGCACAAGGCTGGACTAGAAGACATCCAAGGTCCTTTCCAGCTCTATTCTGATTCTAATTTAAACAGGGAATGGGACTTTGTGCTTTTATAAATTGAGTTGATTTCCCATGCAATTTGCCCTAAATTCTTGAAGAGTCAGACATTCATCACAAAATATATTTATTCTGTCGGTACCAAAATACCAAATGAATATTTCTCTTTTGACCTTCCATGTTCAATGAAACTAATGGCCCATTACTCTCATTGCCTATTTAGTAGTATCTCAAATCCTTTTATTGACAGTGTGGTTAATACTGTAAGTTATGAGCTAGCATACCTATTAATAGCCTTAGAATGTGCAGCTAGAAGACACATTGATGTATGATTGGAGTATTTCCCCTTTTCTGCAAATATTAGAGCCTGAATAGACATCTTTATTCTCCCTTCTCCTATAGTCCAATGACTTAATTCTTTCATTTCATATATCCTGCGTTTGAAAACTGAGTTGGAATGATAAATGTATGTGCAGCATGGAATCTATAAGTCACCAATGCAGCTATTTGCAGATACATTAGCATCTATAGGCACTACACTGGACCCCCCAACCTAGGTTGGATTTAAAAAGTTCGTTACATTGCCTTGCCATCTTGGTTTCACCCTTGGCAATGAAGACACTAGTTAGGTTTAAACCTAGAAAGACAGGACTAGGCTAATCAAATGAAGTTTGTCCCCTTATCATGTACCCCTAGTCCTTATTTTCTCTAAACTAGCCAAACCTAAATTCTGCAATTGTTTTTCATATGTTTTATGAACTCTGTGTTAAGTTACAATACAATATTGTATACAATACAATACAATACAATACAATACAATACAATACAATACAATACAATACAATACAATACNTGCCTGGAATTCTGATCTGGGCTGGACATCATCAGACCCCTCTAAACCCCAGTTTAGCAGACACACCCAAGAACATCAAAGCTACATCTCAAGGACTAGTTAAAAAGAAAGCACTGCAAAGTAATTAGAAGATTGTAGAATAGGATAATAGAGTTGGAAGGTTCCTTGGAGGTCATCTAGTCCAACCCCTCCGCCCAAGCAGGAGACCCTACACCATTTTTGAAAAATGGCAGTTCAGTCTCTTCTTGAAAGCTTCCAGTGATGGAGTTCCCCCAACCTCCGAAGGCAACTTCTGTTCCATTGGTTGATTGTTCTCACTGTCAGAAAATTCCTCCTTATTTCCAGGTTGAATTGCTCCTTGATCAATTTCCATCCATTATTCCTTCTCTGGCCTTCAGGTGCTTTAGAAAATAACCTGGATATATAAATTACTTCTTGAGATGCTCGGATGTTAAAATTTCCGCTGGGAAATGGGGAGTTTGTCCAGTTCCACTATAGAATATTGATATTGTACTGACTCCTGGGCAGTTCCCACAGGTCTAATTTTGCTTTTGGAAATGTTTTCACTTTAAATGGATTTGCTGGCAATAAATACTATTTCAAATGCAAATGTATTGCTTGGGATGGCAGTATTATGAAACAGAGTTTTAGTTTCTTTAAAAAATAGTTCAGTTTACAAGCTCATACTAGTGAAGTATTAGCCTTGTCATTCACCTAAAGGGAATTATAGTACACTCTTCCTGGAAGTGTGAGATAGCAGTAGCATATAGACTTACACACCACTTCATAGTGCTTGAGAGCTCTCTCTAAGCAGTATGCATCATATTGTATGTCAGCCTCTTGCCCCCAACAATCTGGGTCCTCATTTTGCTGACCTCAGAAGGCTGGAAGGCTTTGTCAACCTTGAGCTGGTCAGGATCAAACTCCTGGCTGTGGGCACAGTTAGCCTGCAATGCTGCATTCCAACCACTAAGCTACCAGGGCTCTAACTATTGCGTTCTAACCACTGCAGCACCACAGCTGTTTGCAACCGTCTCCCACTCCCAGACACAAACTCATATGGGGAAAATACTCAGCCAATGATATTTCATTTATTAAATTATTTCATTTATTACATTTCTATGCCGCCCAATCCCGGAGGCATATTCATAATGCCTTGTTATAATTTGAAAGCAGCACAAGAATATATGCAAATTGTTGCTACCAGTGAAACAAACCATGGGACATTTAAACCATGGGACTAAGGATTGGACTCGAAAACCCCTGAGCTTCCTTCTATCTCTATTCTTAAGCAACAGGGATTCACAACACTGAGCAATTTTTCCAACTTGGAGAGTAGTTCTCCTTTATTTGTATTCCGCCTTTCAGGAATAAAAATACACAAGGGGAGCAAAAGATAATGCTGAAGGAGTTTCGTTCATCACAGCTAAAAGAAAGTGAATATTTATATCCAGTTTGATCTATTTCCATTTTTTCCCTCAAATTCTAGACATTATTTCTTTTCACACAGCATAACTGAAGCTGGAAGAGGTCATGGCAAACCACCCCCATACTGTTGCCAGGAAAACATATGTTAATGATGTCCCGAGAAGCTGCAGATTAGGTTTTTTAAACTTAATGCAATTTTATGCCACTCTCACATGAGCATGCTTTTACTTCTAAGTTTGGGTCTCTTTCCTAATAAAAAGAAAAGTTGGTGTGTTTAAGTTGCAACTCCCTAGCTGCATTTTCTGAAAAAATAGCAAGTGAAGCAAATTGCAGATGGAAAAGATCCCAAGATAATATCAAATCCATAATTCCAGCCAGTGGTGGAAAAAAAACACATTTTTCTCCTTGCTTCAGCTAGGAATGTTGACTCATATGAAGCAAAGATCAGCTTTGACATGTCTGTAATGCGCTTATTAAGCCAATACAGCAACTGGCAAAGGAACGCTCTGTCTCCTGCCAAAATCACCAAGACTTCAATTGACAGAAATTGCTACCCTTGGGAAGGAGACCAGAGCAAATATAGGCATTAATTGCACAAAGGAAAAACTGAGCTGGGCAGGTTGGTGGGTGTCTGTTTAGGCGTCTAACGGCTCGTAGTAAATGTAGCTATCACTTTATGACCAATCAGCACTGTAGCTTTTATGGGATAATCTCTAAATGGATCTCTGGTTCCATTTCCACGTTCTAGTGACAGTGAAGAACAAGAAACCACGAAAGAGGACAATTCTGCTCTCCTCAAGTTTCAGCTGAAATATGAAACCGATCTCCTTTTCACCAGGTATTTTGGATATGTACAGAGTGAGTTTTGTGCTGCCATAATTCATCATTCTGAACATGGTAGCGTATTCTATGTGTTCAGACCTGAGAAGTGGGATCAATTTTTATTTTGATTGGGTTCTCCTTTATTTTGTTGCTGTTCAGGAGTTCCAGCCAGAACTATTATGAGATCGAACCCAACAATTCTCTGCAGACATACGATAGAATCGGCCCACCATTTAACTGCACTTTTAAGGTAAATTCATTTTTGTTGTAAGCCTCATATTGGGAAGGGGAGATGGCTTATTGCAGAAGAGGGTCTCATGCTGCCTTTCTCCTTCAGCTACAGAATCTGGGCCTCTTCCCTGTTGATGGGATAGTTATCAAAATCACAGTCCCCGTGGCCACACGAGGAGGGAATCGCCTGCTGCACTTAACAGGCTTCCATGGACCAGAGGTATCCAAAGTTCCTGCTTATTATTTTGGTAGTAGGGAACCTCAAGTTATGAGTTTGAATGATTAATCAGGTACCTCAAGAGAAAGCACATCCTCTACCTAGCTAATGAAGGAAGGTGACAGTTGGGGATGGCATTTTTCTTCTCAGGTGGGCACATGTCATATTCTCCTTAGTGAAAGGCTACAACCCTCCCACCTGTCACAGTTTCCCCAGCCACCTACATGCAGGTCAGTGAAAGCAGCCACATTCACACAACATGCCAGATATGGTTAGTTTTTATTGTGTTTTTTAGTTTAGTTTTGTTTTGGTTTTTTTTTATTACTACATATATTGGTTCATTTTATTATTCTATGTATCATTAAAAAGTTAAGCTAATTCCGTAACTGGATTGAATGGTATGAACCCAGACATGTGATACTTTCTTAGCTTCTGTGAGAGAGGGATGCTTTCGTTCAGGGCACTCCTCAGGGAGGGAGTGGTGGAACAGCCACAACTTTTGGCCTATTGCCTTTTTAATGGGCATCACCATGCAGGTAAAAAGGAGGTGATCTTTTGATCCCACTCTCACGGCTGTCCATTTTGACTCTTGGAGCCCCCAACCCAATGCTGCCACTTCTCCCTTCCCTTTCCCAGTTTTATTTACAGAAGCAATGATGGATCACTGTTACAAAACATTAAAGCAAAAACCCAAATTACAAAGCTTTAGCTTTTTTGTAATTTCATGTTAATTTAATAAAAATTTTGAAATTTAATAAAATTTGTATGCCGCCCACTCCCTTGGGACTCTGGGCGGCTTACAGACAAGATAAAAGCGTTTAAAAAATTAAAGGTAAAAAATGCAGTTGTTAAAATTGCACACCATCCATTCTGTCTGAGTGGGGCTGGACATTGATCAACAGCCCCAGGCCTGCCAGAACAGCCAGGTCTTGGTGGCTTTTCGGAAGGCCGGGAGAGTGGTAAGGCTCCAGATCTCTACGGGTAGATCATTCCACAGGGCCGGCGCAGCTACAGAGAAGGCCCTCTCCCGGGGGGGCCACCAGCCGGCATTGTCCGGTCGACGGCACCCAAAGGAGGCCCAACCTGTGAGATCTTGTTGATCGTTGGGAGGTATGTGGCAGGAGG